GGCTAATCTGTGTTGTTTTCAAGAATGCTTTGGATATTATTTTTCTGTTTATTGGTGTACTTTTCTAGAAGCAAACATTAGCTATGTGGGCCTGCCATTGCCCTCATGAACCATACCATTATGTTTTCAATAACTCCTCCAACCTTCCTTGTTATCTTGTATTTCTCAAAACTGACTTCTCTTGAACTACAGGTTCTGCATATCACTATAGCCACACTTACCTCTTCACAATCAAGCAGCATCCCTCTGGTTTTCCAGGATTGCTAATAACAGAAGAAAACTCAACTCTGCAAAGCTCTGTAATAAAAGAGCTTTTCACTAAAATAGCTGAATTTTACATCAGGACATGGTTTGATCTTGGAAGAACTTCCCTTATAGAAACTCTTATAACTGAATTCAAAGGAGACAGGATTAGGTTAGTCAATAGCATCACTACTATAGCACTAGCACAGATATTTTACCAAATAATAATTGAAAAGTTTTCCTTAAAAACATTGCTACACAACCATTCCTACTATGGTCACCACAGAGAGAAGATGTAAGAACCTGAAAAATAACTGGTCCCAGCTGCATCCCACCCAGAGTCTTTTATTGCAGCAGGTAGAGTGGTCCTGATGGAGGTAAATGAGCTCAGCTGGAGAGGGAGAAGCACCTTAGCAGCAGTCCCTGAAAAAGAGAGAAGAGGCTGAGAGAGAAGGGAGGAGCTTTCTGTATCCTGAGATATCCATTAGCTGTTTGGAGTAATTGGCTGCTCTCAGCTGTCCTGGAAGGCATAATGCCCAGCTCCTGGCTGGTGTGTAATCTCTCCTTGGTGTTTAGAAGGATTTGGGAAGCCCTTCCAAAAGCACAGCTTGGGAGGCACCATGGGCATTTCTGGTTTTTGAGATCATGCCTCACCTGAGTGCCTGGGAGAAAGCTGCTTTCCATTGCACTGCCTTCAGGACTTGCTGTGCGGTTCCATTTGCCATGACACGGCCCCAAGGAGGCCCTGCTGGGGACAGAGGGACTAGCTTGCTCCAACAGTGCTCTCAATGGCACATGGCCACGGCTGGGCTCTGGGGACTCACAGAGCTTGGCTCCTTGCCTTCCTCTGTGGGAAATATTTGTAACCTGCAAGCACCAGAGAAAAGCATTGCCTGCACTCTGAAGAGCATCAGAGAGGTGCATGGGGGCCATGAGGGAGATACCCACGGGCAGAGATGAGGGGCTGGGGCTGAGCCATGCACAGGCCAAGGGAAGGGGTTCCTGCCACAGAAGTGCTCTTTGATTAGTGTCATTAAACGGTGGGTAAGTAAAAATTATCGTCTTCTCTAGTCTTTCCACTGCCAGATGGAGCGATTTCACACTCACCTGCAGAGGGAGACAGCTCCTCTTTATTAGCCCAATTTTGTTGACACAGTTTGGTGCCTCCACCTTACTAGGCTGGAAAAACCAGATAAGGAATTGATGTGGCTGTGGCAGCCCACGGTCAGATTCTCCCATGGAGATGCTGCCAGGGTGTGCGGGGACCCTTCCAAAGCCAGCACCGGGCTGGAGCAGCAGTAGTTTATGAGCTGGTTGTAAAGTCCTTCAGGGGAGCAGCCCCCGAGGCAGTGCCAGGCCCTGCCATGTGCTCCAGCAGTACTGCACTTGCTGGCACTGGGCTGAGGAGAGGGATCATAACAGGAGCCATGCCAGCGAGTGGCTTCAGCCCCTCCCTATGCCCCACAAGGAGCTGCTCCCAGCAGGGGAGCTGCCCCTAGCCCAGGGTTTGGGCAGAGCTGCGCAGCCATCACCTGGAACACGCATTCATTTGCAAACTCAGGGTGTTTCCAAGCCAGGACGGCTCCCAATCACAGGGCCTCACGCAGAGAAGTTTGGTGAGGAGCTGTGGGGCCGGGTGAACCTGAAAAGCTGGCTCAAGCGTGCCCCGAACACCTCCTGCCGCACTCGGGGCCCTTGCAGGGAGATCGCACTCAGCAGCGAGACTGGGGGTGCTGCTGCACCCTGCGGCTGCTGCGGGACCCTGCTCATGATGCCCCTGCCCTGCCGGCAGCAAGGCACCGAGGCAGGAGGCAGCTTTGCCCTGTGCACGGCTCAGCTGGGGTTGCAGCTCTTGGGTGAGGCTTCTTCAGTCTTCTGGAAGGTATTGACTCATGTCCTACTTTTCCTCGAGGGGAAGGGGAGAGGAAAAAAAAAAGGCAGAAAAAGAGCTTGCTCCCTGCTTGCTGCCTCATAAACCACAGTTTCAATTGTTTAATTTCCCAAGTTACACCACAGCCCTGCGTGCCTGTCTCAGTACCTATGACAGGGAGGGCATTTAGTAACTGCCGGCACCGTGCCCAGGGATCAGGCACCAAGCTGAAGGCAGAGCTGCATGAAGGATAAAGCTCACCTACATCCCTTCCCCCACCATGGCTTTTAATTTGTGTGACAGGCTACTCATTATTCCTAATTTAACTTAATAACTAGCTTGAGCCCTTGTCATACTTTTCTTCTGTATTCAATACTGAAAGAATAACAAGGAGAAAAGAGAAAGGAGATGAGTAAAGAGAGAAAGCTGTGTGTTTATTAGGAAAAGATTTACAGAGGACATAAATAAGATGGAAAAGCTAGAGTAGCCTTCATCTTTAATGAGTCTGTTTAAATACTTCTATAAAATTACTTTATAACTTACAGAATGGCTCCTGACAGTTTCTAAGCCAGTACACAGGTTTTCCTAGGGAAGACTCTTTACTTCAGGGGTGTTTTTTGAATGTCCACTCCTTACTCACAAGGTCCTTGGGCAGGCTAATGCTTTACTCCACTAGAAAGAGTTGCCACCAAGTTGTGGAATCGTTTTTAAACAGACTTGACTCCCTGGATAGAAATGTCTCCTAACTCTGCAGTAGCTTTGGGAATAAAAGCAGCCATAAGAAATTCAAGAAGTTAAGAGCATATCTGATAGGGGACAACATGCTAATGATGCACGTGGTGCTTGCTTGAGCTTCTTTCTGAAATTGTGAATAGCAAGGAGGAAGCATACGAAAATAGATTCACATTTTTGTAAGTCCACACAGACTCTTGGGTCTCAAATGCTTCTGTCTGCTATTCTGCTTGCAAACAAAGCCACGTGCAGGTCTCTGTCCTCATCAGGCCACGATGCCTCCAGTTTGCAAACACGGTATGTTTGTCTTCTCCCTCTTTCTTCTTCAAGTTCAAAACAATCCAACATTGTCACCAAGCCGCGAGTTTGCCAGCTCTCTTGCTATGTTCAGCCTGATCTAAATATCCAAACTCTCACGTAGGCAGCAGTAATGATCTCCTTCTTCCACCTGAGAGATGAAAAATGCCCCACCTCCACCCCCTTGTCCAAACTCATCTGCTGGGAGATGACAACAAGGTCACTATAGTGCAACTGGAAACAGGCAGGAATGCTGAAAATTTGTGGCAATATCTCTTTTTTTATCTAAAAATAAACCCCAAATCCCATCAACCTCTTAATTTCAGCTTGCAGACAGAAAGGTGTCAGGCAGACAGTGTTCCTATTACTTATCTACAATGCCCACTTTCCCCCTAATATCTATCAGCACCTTGCTCTGATCTCCCTCTTCCTGCCATTAGAGACTAAGGCTCCACATCCTCAGCTCAGAGGGAATGAAGCCACAAAGGGCTGCTACAGAGCATCATAAGCCTTCATCTTAGCCCCTCTGCAAGCTGAGGGTTAGGGAGGGAAGACAGCACTGCCTGGCCTCAGAAGGCCTCCCAAGTCAGGGCCAGGCACTATTCCAACCTAGAGCAGCCCAGGAGCCCAGCCAAACTATTGTTTCACAGATGCAGTAAAAACATATCTCTTGTCTGGGAAAACCCCCACATGGGACAGCAAGCAAGAGCAGAGGCTAGAACCACCAGTGACAGCAGCTGTGGCAGTGAGGTTACTCTCCAGCTACTGGGAGCACTGCAGTGGCCCCAGTGGGAGCATGGAGCAGAGTCCTTGATCCTCAGTGTGGGCCACTGGCAGTGGGCACATCACACAATGCTGTGGGCAGGTTGTGCAACTGCACCCCATTAAGGTTTGCCTTAGAGTCCAGGGTGAGTAAAAACACCTTAGGTATCACTCCATAGCATGGCCCAAGTAGGGCAACGATATTGTCTGTTCACACAGAAATGGGGAGAGCCTGCTGCTTCTCTAAATGTGGCGTAGGGCCCATTGCTGTGACCAGCTCTCTGAGCTATTGGCTGCTGGTCCTGGCACTTGCATCTGTTCCAGATTTCTTTCATCACAGGTTTGGAGGTGCTTTGGGAATGGGTGTGTGCCACATGAAGACAGAGGAGAGAAGGCACTACATGAAAGCCTGCAGAAAGGCTAAAACATTGCTGATGGAGGTATGTGGAGACCATAGCAGCAGTAATGAGAAGGGAAAAGCACTTCCATCTTGCTTGAACAACTTCCTGTTGTGAGAATCACAGATTCACATTAAACCAAGACCAGAGAACTGCCACAGAGGAGAAAGAATATGAGTTTATTTTAAAAAATAATAATTTAGCTCAAACACAAACGGGATTGCAGAGTGTTGACTGAAGTAGGAAGAACAATATTTATCCACAGAACTTAGACCAGTTTTTCTCTCTTGTAGATGATACGTTCAGTGCCCTTCCTTGTCCACAGCTCTGCTTCAGTTCTCATCTGCACATAAAGTCATCCTGACTACTGGGGCTCTTAGTAACAAGGCAGAGGAGAAATGGTGTCTGCTGCATATGAAATGCTGTTCCTGCCTCCAGAGCCTCCATGATCCAAAAAGCCAGAAGAGCAACTCCAGCATCTAAACCAATGTGCAATACAAAGGGAACAACCTGCACTCCTCCCTGGAAGTCTACCTACCCATGCCCCATTCCCAGCATCCTGGCCAAGTGCTCCCACCCACACCTGAATTCACCCCCCCGCCCACAGGTGCTGTACACAGAGGTGTAGACACAGGCCTTTGCAATACTCCTCCCTCCCCACTCTCTTCTCATCCAGACCTGCAGATCTTTCACCTCTCTCCATGCCTGCATGCCATACATTTCTTGGCACAGCAGCAGTTCATTTCACAGTGATGGGATATGCCCTGGAACACACCGGCCACTACTGCAGTTTTTTCTCATCTGTGAAGTGGCCTTTCATGCAATTGCCATTCTGATACACAGGGCTGGCCCCTTTCCTTCTGCACCACAGCACAGATTTGTAGAGAGCAAATCCAATAGCAGCCAGACACAGCAAGAGAAGAGCCAATATGTCCAGGCAGAAGTACTCATACAAGGAAAGGTCGTAGACAGCCGGGCGAAGGAAGGGCGCCCCATGGTGCCGAAGGACGTACTCCAGCCAATACACTGTCCTGTTGAGAGCGTGCATTGGTCTGTCCAGGTGCAGGGCTGAGATGTGCTGGGCTGCTTTTCTGTAGCTGCAAGGGAAGATGACAAGACATTTACCTTTCAATAGAAACTTCAAACTGAGAAGTGGCCTGACACATCCAGTGATGCTTTGAAGTCCCAAATAATACCTTGGGAGAGGGGCAAGTTTCTCCCATTCTTCTTCTGAAACCCACTCTGATGGCACTGGCCAGCTATGAAGGCACAAACCAGAGTGGATTTTTCTTTGTGTTTTGTTAATAACACTGACAGTTTGGCTTGCAAGTACCTGTTCAGTGAGTTCATGTGTATGACACTTTCTGAGGGGAGTTTACACCCTAAGACCTCACCCAGCATCAAGCAAAAGCTACACACTTGATGAGTGGCCAAACCCTTCTAGATACCAAACTGCAACACCTCTTAATAGGTAAGAAATACAAAATATTTTCAAAATCAAGCTCTCAGAGAGCATTTCAAAAATCAGCAGTTGCACATGTCCCATTAGAAAACAGGAGCCCTGTGTCACTTTTCTGTTCCTGCTTCAGTTCTAGGAAAAAGCAGAGTATATGACTGACAGAAGGAGCAGATGGAGCATTACCTGCAGTTCCCTCTCTGTTTCTACAGAAAGTTTTTTGGACAAGTTCAGGGAGGTCCCAATGGGAGGCTGTGATCTCACCCTCCCTGATGACAGGGTGGCATTAAAAGGTCTGTTCCCCAGTAGCTCAGAAAACTTTCTAAGAACATTACAGTCAGACAGGACTGGATCACACTCCTTAGAAGCAAATGCTGGAGTATCTCCTCCTGTGCTGCATCTAAGGATTTTGAGGCACTGATACATCTGGTCAGCTGAGCAATGCTTGACACTGTGCTTGGTACAGAAGCCATCATAGGTGGTGTAGGGGTCAACACGAAGACACACTGGTCCCTACACACTGTCTGCACCACGGAGGAGCTTGATGCTTCCAGGTGCCTCACCTGGGGTCAGAGATGACGGTGATGACAGCCTGGTAAAGCTCCTCTTCTTTTAGTCTGCTCCAGTCCATGAGGATACCCATGCCCTTTGCCTGCACTCTGGTCATGATGTCAAACTGGTCCCCATAGAAAGGAAATCCCACCACTGGCACACCGTGGTAAATTGCCTCAAATATACCATTCATCCCACAGTGGCTGACAAAGGCTTTCACATTGGGATGGCCTGCAGGTAAAGGAAGAGTAGCAAGTCAATGCCTTCCACGTTGCAACAGGGCTACCAGGGGTTCCTTAACACACAATGTTGATGTATGTTCAGGGAAAAACAGGCATGCTAAGCAGAAAGGATGTTAAGCAGAGAGGATTCCTTTGGGAATACATCTGGTTTTTGCAGCCCAGAATTGCTGAGTAGAGCCTGGAGGAGAAGGGAGATGGGAGCCAAGCACCTTCAAGCAGGTGTTAGGTGAGGAACATGTTTTGTACAGATCAGACACACAAGAAGCAACAGACTTAGATCCACACAGGTGCTGCTATCCTTATGTGCCTTTGCTGTGGTTTGGGCTAAACTCCAGGGGTGTTGCTAGTGGCACACACATACACAGAACCCAGCCTTACCTAGCAGGTCATTCTGGGGCAGCCACCCCATCATCAGCGTATTCTCACCCAGGTTTCTTGGCTTCTGACCAAAATATCTGTGGGAGGAGACAGAGCAAGGGAAAAAAGGAGAAGAGAAACGCAGAGAACAAGAGTAAATTCAATCAGATCAAGAAACAGAAAGCAGACTCTGTGATTTGAAATTAATCACCCCTCAACATTGTTTTTCATCCAACTCAAGTGAAAATGAATCCCATTCCCTTTTCACCTCCACACCACCCTTTGCGGGAGGCGAGCAAATGCACCAGCCATCTTCTCCACCAAATCGCTTGGAAGAGCTCGGATCCCGATGCCAAAGGAGACAACAACAACACCTGCCTCTGCTGCTTCCACCCAGAGACGCAGACCCTGTGGGCAAAACACACACAGCTGCCTTGAAGTATTCTTCCAGAAGGGCCCTTCCCACTCTTGCCTCTGACAGAGGCAGTAGAAACTGTCCACAGAGAAGATGAAGCCAAATCCACCCAGAGCATAAAGCTACATGGTTTTCAACAGGCAACGAACTCTAAAACCACTGTGGTTTTTACACCCAGACAGGCAGAAATTACTTGAGCACCACCTGGTCTTGGGAGTTTGCAGGGAGGTGACCAAAACCTGCATTTCATGGCATTATCTCCTGCTGGAGGTAACACAATTAGTCTTTGACAAGAAAGGTTCTGGAAATGGAGGTACCACATAGGAATAGCTAGGAGAGAGAGAGAAATTGGAGCAAAAAAAGGGAGGCTATTTTCCCATTACCACTAAGACAGAAGGCCTGTCAGGATCTCTACATGTAAGCTGATACAAGAGACAAAACATCACACAGTCAGGAACAACTTCTTCCTGGAAAGTTCCTACAACTCTCCAATGTCAAAGGCTTCTGGAGGGGGCAGAAAGTCTTGCCATATTGACAGGAGACTTCTAACCTTGATAGCTACTTGCAGACAGCAGATTTAGTTTTTGATCACTGGACAGAAAGGTAGCTACAGATCCAGTAAAACTCATAGTCATTCGTCCTTCATTTAGAGGCTACCTGTAATGCTACATAAACAGGCCTGTATTTAGAACAGAGTCTGTACTTTTTTTAACCAAAGCCAGAAGGTAGTAGGGAGAAGACATCAGCAACCACAGCTACTGTGAAGCAAACATGGACTATTCCCTCTTATGCCAGGCTGGGCTGAATTATGTCCTTCTTCAAGTTTCCCATGTATCTCAGTCAGGAGCATTTTAGGGAAGTTTAATAAAAATCTACCTTTGAATATATATACTTCCTAAAATAAATATGCAGGAGAAAATGACTTTTAAAAAATGTTATTAAAAGAGAAAACTAAAGTGATTAATACAGAATATTAATTGTATTTTAAAAGTTAGGGGATCAGAGTACAAAAGAGTTACAGAGCACATCTTAGTGTTATTCTCTAGGGATACTTCTCCTTTGTTATATGCTTCAGAGACTCATGCCTGCCTTTTCAGAAATGCTTAGAGTGCACTAAAACAAGAATCAAGAAGTTTACAATAGAGATATTTTAGCTTCTCCATTCTTTTGAGTTTTACATCCTTTGAGCAGTGCAACCACTGAAACTACTACAGAAGAGAAAGTGCTGGTTTTCCTTTTCTAAATAAAAGTATAATGACTCCTAAACCAGATTACTATGTTATCCATTATAATTGGGCCATAACATTTATCTTTCAGAAACAGCATTGAAGCTGCCAGGGAAGCATGGTTGACCACCAAATGTTCTCACTTTCTCTCAACTACAAATCTATATTTAACCAAGTCCTAAATAGAAGCATTCAAAATCATAGTGTTTCAAATAGGAGGAAATAAGCATTTAATTACATGTCAAATGGGACATTCTTTAAGGCACACCTAGACCTACAGAGGCTCTCTCTTCTGCTGGCATCCCATGATGTGGACACAGACATGCCTACCTGCTACCATGACAGCCACCACCTACTGCAGGGCTCCAAACTTATCTCCATCATTCTTTCCTTAGGTGCCCTGGGATCTGTTCTGGAAGCTGTGAAGCACATGAGTAATGCCCTAACAAACAACTCCCTTCTTTATAAGGCAGGTGTGTACGTGGCCAGGTTGGACCAAGCCAGAGTTTTGCAAGAGCTGTGAGGCAGCCACCCTCTGACACAGCTTTCGGAGCACCCTACGTGCGTTTCATTACCTGCAGGCCGTGCCACATGGGCAAGGCTCATGTGCAGTCAGACACATCTGGAGATCTTCTTTTTAAGGCACCTGATCTCACCTCTTTTTTAACTGAAAAATATTGGTATCCACAGCATCAGTGAAGTTGCCATCAGAGATCTTGAGAGGCCTCTAATAATTTGAAAGTTGAAATATTATCTCCCTTTCAGACCCTTAGTCAGGACACTAGGACATCTTGACTGCTCAAGTTTTATTATCCAGATTTATTTCCCCTCAATGTTTGTAAAAGTGGTAAGACAAGTCCTACTCTCTTCCAATACTGTCTTCAGCCAGAGTTTTTAGGAGCTTGTTCCTCTGAATTTATTCCTGGGATTAGTAAGGCATAGGCTGGAGAAAGCCTTGAGAGGAGTTTTCAGGACTGAATCTTGAGAAAAAGGGGTTGATACCCTGCAGTTTTCTACATTTTGGTATTCTACACTCAATTTAATGAAGGAACAAGAATAGCTGTCCCCTGTGGTTTCTTAACACTACAAGCTCAAGGGCAGAAATGCTCTGTGGGAAATAGGATGAAGGAGGAAATTCTGGATTAACACATCAGTGATGAAACAAAGCAGATTAATTGTTCTTCCCATTCCCACAGGAGCAAACAAACTATTCATTCTCAAGTCCCAGGGGCAGCACTTCCATCTTACAAACTCCACACACCATTTTACATGGACAGTGAGGCCAAATCCCACTTCAGCGTGGCCCACTTAATTCTACATCCTCCCTGCAGCCTGGCAACCTTCAGTGTTCCCTGTCTCGCCAATGCACCCACAAGCACCAAAACACCACAGCTTTCCAGACACTTGGGGCTTCAGAACTTTTACAACGTTCTCCCAGAGAAGATCTGTACTAAGTAGCCTCCCTAGTTGATGTGCAATCATAGATCAAAGCTTTCTTGCACTTACCACTGGAAGGGGCTTTGCAGGCTCAGCCAGGATCCCCCCTGTGAAAATGACATGGGGGAGGGTTGGACGGGGAAAGTCCAACACCACATCATTACAGAGGAAGAACAGACTGGTTCCATGAACGAGGTCCAACATGGATGTCTTGGGCTCCACACTATGCTTCTCCATGAGACGTTCAAACTTGGGCAGGATGACCAGTTTTGTAGCCACACGAGTGATTATGTAGACTAGGAGATTCCAAGTCCTACCAAAAAAGCCCATCCTGTCTGTCATCAGGGAGTTGAATTCAGGGACATAGGCAATGGGGGAGGTGGCACCAATCTCTGCTGGGAACCAGAAGCCAGTGGAAATCACAGCATACTTGATGTGTAGGATGTGGGCCAGGATAAATCCACACATCTCATTGGGGTCCACCAACAGCAGATCAAAGTGCTCCAGCTGGAGTTTCTGCAGAAGGGTAGAATTTCCCAGTACTAGGTCACAGTTTTCCAGGTACTTCTCCAAAAATGAAAACACCTCCAGGGAGGTCATCTTCCCTTGAAAGATACGCTTTATCTTCTCCTGCACCCAGGCATCTGCGTTCTCTGTGCTGAAGGTTCCCCAGTACCTCTGCACGCGGAAGCCAGGCAGGGAGGTCTCCACATCCCGACCTTCGTGGAGTAGCAGCACAGGGTCATGGCCCCGCTCAGTCAGTGCCTCTGCCACCCGCATGAAGACTCGCAAGTGGCTGTCAAAGACTATGGTGGGCATGATCAGCACCTTGGCACAGTGAGATGGCTCCACAGTGAATGCAGTCACGAGGAAAAGAAGAGCAGCAGGGCATGGTAGCACCTTCATCATCTTCATCGCTGCAAGGAGACAAACATGCCATTAATGCAGTATCTCTGTCATGCACTCAGTGATAACAGTTGGAATTGTAGCTGCAAGCCAGGACTTGTGAGCTGGGACAGGAGAGCAGTCTGGAGTCTTTCACTGGGGAACATCCATCCCCATCCACTCTGCCTTGCCCTAAAAAAACACCCCAACCAAACCAGAAACAATCCCACAAAAATACCCCAACAACCGAAGTCAGATATCAGGGGAGTTTTCCAGAAAATCTCTTCTTTGTGCTCCTAAATTAGCTCAAAAACTAGCAGACTGACTCACAGAGAGTTACTGAGGGTGAGTGGCTGGAGGAGCTATGCTGGGTCACAGCACCAGCAGGGACACTTGCTGCTCAGTCCCTGTTTACCGCTATGGAACCAGCTCAGCTGGATTTTATTTTTATTTCTGTCCAGCCAGAACAGCTGGTTCTCTCTGAGGCCTTGATGTCTGTGCAAGTTCGCAGGGAGGCCTGCAGAGCTTGGTGGAAAGGCCATGAGGTATGCTCTGACTTTGGCCCTCACATGGCTGGCGAGGCACTTTGCTCAGCACAAACAAGGCAGGAGCAAGTCCAGGTCACAGCAGGACCCACTGAGAGGAGCCACAATCCCAGAGAGCACAGCTACAGTCTGGACAGAGAGCTGCTCCAGTATGGCTCAGTCATGGGAGGCTCTGGGGAAAGGGCTGGGAAAGGAAAGTGGGTGCCAGGATACTCATCCACTAGAAGGCAGCAAACCCAGAAAGCAATCCCAGAGATGACATGCAACACCTGTGGCACACTGACGCCCCTTAGTCACACTCCTAAAGCTGTCATCCCCTCTGCAGTTTGGTGAAACACCCAAGATTTCTGTTGTGTAAGGGATGTTGCTACATCACTGGAAGCGAACGCACCTCACCCACACCTAGCATTATTTTGGGAGAAGAACTATGTGATAATTATTTGGGAATAGTCAGAAGCAAAGTAGTTTTCTGAGAACCCAGTTCAGACATGCTAGGAAGCAGCAGTGGGAAGAGGAAGAAGTTACAATGGGAACAACTGGAAGTGGATTTTGGATGACCCCCACACGCTAAGCCCCAGTGGGGCTGCAGGGATGTGGTAGAGTGGAATTTGGTACAAGATTTTCTGACAGCTCCTCCGATAGTGCTTGATCAATTAAGAGGTGGGAAAGAAAGTAATGGAAAGATTCTGCTAAATACAGTGTTCAGACTACCCTCAGCAGGCCTCTGTCTGGCTAAACTAAGCACATGAGAGCGAAGACATGGGAGAATAAAACTGCCCTGTTCTTCCTCCAGTGCTTTCTTGTCCCACGTGGAGACAGGACATGGGAAACAAACAAAGCAGCTACTGGTTGGCACCCTCCCCTGTTTCAAAGGCAATTTCTGATAGTGCTTGGACTCCCATCCTTCCCACCCAGGGTCAACTGTGTGGCTGTGCCTGCACAAGCGATAAGAAACACGAGAAAAAGCTAACAGATACCAAGAGGGTAGCTGGACCCACAGAACAAGAGCTCCAGGAGAATATAGACAAAAGTGATGGGCTGGAAAGAAGAAAGCATAGGCTCTGCAAGGAATGTAAGGATCTGCCCAGCATCCTACCTCCCTAACAGCAGGAAACAGGCTGGCCTGTGACAAAGCGTTGGACACAACAGAGCTACAGCCCACAAAGCTGGTCTGGTACTCAGATTACTTGAGAGGCCCAAAAGGAACTTATCCTGCCCAACACCAGGGAAGGTAAAGCATCTGGCTATGACATTCACAGCAGATCCAGGAGCACATGCTGCTTCCAGGAAGCAGGGGAAGAATGGCAGCCATGTGATCTCTGCTGGGATGGCAGGGAGTTAAGGAGAGAAGCAGACACAGGCTTTCCCTGGGGCACCTAGTGGGTCATACATGCACATAAGTATGCCAAGAAGAGTAAAAGAGGTTTTATATGTGGGGTAGGGTGTTTTCTTATTGGGCAACAAGAAAAAAGATGAAGAAATAGTCCAGGTAAAAGGTATAGTTATTTAAAGAAAAAAATAGCCACCAATCTTCAGCCAAGGACTGTGTTCTGCCATGGACCTACATGCCAGACATTGCTGAGACCCTCAGCTCAGCTAAGACCCTCTGGGCACTACCAAAATCCAAATGACAAGTAAGGTGTCAAATCTCAGCCCTCAGGTCAGGGGCAGATGCTGACTCAGTGAGACTTGCAAACTGCTCTTGGTGGTTTCATCTCTTCCAAATCAGGAGCAGTCCCTAGAGGTGCTGGCTCAGGAACCTCTTCTCCCTACCCAAGCAATAAGGGAGGCTGTAAATCTTGCTAAGATGTGAGAGGATGCCAGGCTGCAGGAAGAGACCTTTTTTCCTACTTCAGCTCGATACCTCCAGAGATAATCTCTGCTCTGTTCATGCCCAGAAAGGTACCCTGGTCAAAGCTTCGGCCCTAGAGCTGTGCTGGATGCACCAGACACATCCAATTTTAGTGCTATTGGGATAAAACAAAGGCTAACTACCAGCAAAAAGGGCACAAGGGCTTGTTCAGCAGCTAGTCATTGTTGAAGTCTCAGGCTGATGGCAAAGGGGAAGGGAGTCCCAGACCTATACAAGGGCTAAATGGCCCAGTTTAGAAGGCTCAAAATTCACCTGCTCACCTCGCTGGTTTACTTCTTACTGACACTGAACAAAAAAGCTGCTCCATGAGCTCTGCAGCCTGGGCAGCTGCTGTGGCCAGTGCAGCCAGTTCAGCCCAGTTCTCTGGCTATGGGAGCTCAGCTACTGCAGGCAGGTGATCTTCAGAAATCTTCAGGCACCTTCAATCACGTGGGATTGTGATTCTCTGGGAAGGTGAATTCATGGTTTGTGCCTTGTCAGAGGTGCAAAATCCAGTAAATGACAAAAGGTAAACAACAGATTGCACACTAGGCCCGAGAGCAGAGTAGACGGAACCATCTCCTTGTTTGTGGTCTGGAAGTCCTAGTGGCTACATCACATAAATACTGCAAAAATAATCCTGCCACTGCAAGGGAAAGGCTTGTAAAGAGAGAATAGACCCTTCCCTGTTTTCATGACAAGTGCTTGGCAGAGCCATGCCAGCTGGCTGATCTACACGGAGCAATGGACCTAACATCACAGTTAACACTGGCAGCCAGAGTCAGGGTTCAAGGGAACTGTTGGAAAAGCCCACATCACAGCAGTTTCACCACTGCAGAGCAGGGCAGAGCAGGCACCTCAGTGGGAGCAGGACCTGGGAAAGTGAGACTGTCACAGCAAGCAGCAGCATCCCCCCTACCCTGCACAACTGTCCACCTCCACCTGCTGGGAGATTGCTTTCAAAACCACAGCAATGCATTGGTGCTGAAAAGTGAGGCAGCAGAAAAGGAGTAGAGAGGGCACAGTCCTCTGAAATGCCCCTGAGAAACCCCTTTCTAGGCTGAAGTTTGTCCCATGATTTTGCCCTGTTTAACATGTTTGACAGGGTATGGCTTCGGTATTGATGGAAAATTACACCAATCAACTTAAGTGAAATAACCAAACAGCCACAGCTCCAGTTTAATTCAGATGTCTTTTATTAGGCTGAAGTACTAAAACCTGTCACAGCAAGCAGTCAAGGCAAAGAACCCCACAAAGAAAGGGCTATGAACAGGCTCAAATGCAAGGACTGCCATTTGTATCTCTCCCTCACTTTTTTATATTACCTAGTTCCTGCCCAGGACCTGGAGGCCTGTATACATGGGACTGAATTATTTCCCCTCCTGCATCCTGGTCTCTACGCAGCTCTTGCCCACAGTAATAAACGTTTTCACTGCAAACTTCTCAGGAGTTAACAAAGCAGCAGAATTAACTGAAAAGCAAAAGATACTTTCACCTGGATGCTCTAAACTCTTCCTGGAATAAGATACTGAGATTTGCCTGTTCTGTTGGGTATGATCCAAAAAAACCCAGGATCTTCTGCTACCATCACGCTGATGACAGCCAGCCTAGCTGCAGCAAATTTATGGAAGCCAAGACTGTGAAAGCAGCTCCAAGAGCAACTTTGTCACTGCAGGAGGATATTACACTATCAGCAGGGGCTGCCCAGGGGAATCCCTAGTAAAAACCTAGAGGATACAATACTGTACAAAGCAAACAAAGCACAGGTGGAAATAGGGAAGTTTAACCAGGCTTCTGTGCTCTGGTTTTGGTTTATCACAGACTCTGACTTAACCAGAGTCACCTGGGTAAATTACAGTAACACTAAAACATTTATATTAACACTATAGCATACTAATGTCAGAGTATACCAATACTAGTATTAGTATTTTAGTATAGAAAACAAAGATAAAGGAAAAAAACCCTTCAGATATAAGCATCCCCTAGCAGTCTGTATCCCTGAGGGTCTTTTAAAATGCTGTTTGCACACAGACTGAATAGGGCACAGATGGTTTGCTCAAAACAACATACCTTTCTAGCATTTTTCCTTTTACATATTCATAGAAGCCCACTGCAAGCACAGAGAATGAAGGAAGCCAAGATCCCCTTTCCAAGATCCCTTTGGAAGGAGCAAAGGGAACAATCACAGCAGTGATCAGGTCAGCATCAGAATGATTTATACCTTTCACCACATTGGTGCTACTGCTGCCACAAAACACCAGAAGTGCTCTGGCTGATCTCTTTTGGACAAAGATTGATGCAGTCCCCAAACAGTTCCTAACTTTTGGTACTTTGGACCATCTTCAACATCCTTCCTGTCTCATTAGAGTTATATGGAGGAAGTTCTACAAGCAAGGTGGCAATCTGTGGGCTAGCAGGAGTTTGCCAGACGATAGTGCCAGGGAACCATGATACCAAAGGAAATACTGATCCATAACAACTGAGAAAAGAAATAAAGATCTGGATCTCAGCTTGTCACAGTATTTGAAACTACACACATCTTCAAGTATTTGAAATTACACACACCTTGAGCTGGGGGATGGTGTTAGACACCACACATCTGCTTCCCCAGCTAGCCCCTCATCATACATTAAATCTCTCTAGGAAGTAAGTGATATTTCCCCCATTCAATATCCACAGGCTTCCTGTTTGTCTTGTGAAAGCAACAGAGATGGTTTGTGACACAGGGTGCTCTGCAATAACAAGTTCTTCCGGACAGCCTTTTTCTCTCACTTACAACATGGTTGCAAGACAGAGCAGCTGATGTCAGACTGTGCCCCTTGTGAGTGGTCTGAGGTCTGCCATGTGGAAGCAAATCAGAACATTATTTGTAATCCCTGGATGAAAGAGAAAGAACAGCTTGGGGCCATTTCCAAATAGTCGTGTGAGCCATAGACCTCAAAGTGAGAGCACATGACAGGGCAGAGCGTTAGTTGGTCTTAAGAAGAATGTATGACGCTCAAGTTAAGTTCTTCAGACTGCAGAGAAAACTGGGAAGATACAGGTGCACCAAACATTAGGGAAGCAGTCAAGAGGAATGGAGAGGAAAAGAATCTTCCCATTAACTGCCTTGTCATTTCAACTTCTTTCTGCAGAGAAGCAGCACATTTAAAGAAAAGTTATTAAACACCTCAGAAGGTTGTGAAATCTTGTGTAGAAAGCTATGGGGACTGATAAAGTCCTGACAGACAAGTCTGATCACATTTGACAGAGTTACAAGAGTAGAGAAGCTAGGGATGAGTCTTATCTTCAATGAAACAAGTGACGCCCTCACGTAAAAGAAACCCACAATCAAACCGAAGAGCTTCTTGGCTCTGAGCCCACCAGAGGAATGAGACCTGGCTGAGCTGCCGTAAACAGAGGTTGAAGAGGGTTGCATAGGAAGAGGAGGCAGAACAGGAGATGGAAGATACTCCTGAGATGTAATCTTCTACAGGAAGATGAAGCAAGTTACACAAAAGCGCTCTGAACGCGCGTCCGTGTGCCAAGGCTCTAGTCCTGCGCATTGAAGCAGATGCTGAACTCGCGCCTCGCTGGAGCAAGCCGGGCTCCACACGCGCGTCGGGAAGAGCCGGGGCCAGGCTGACAGCCGAGACTTCAGACCGAGTCCCTGTCCCCGTCTCCCGGCCGGGCAGAGCTCAGGTGCCATCAGCCCAGCCCGGCCCTACAGCGCTCACCCGGAGCGCAGCTGGCAGCCCCCCGCCCGCGGCCACCCCGAGCTCCCGACCGCGCATCCCACCGACCCCGCAGGTACGCCGCAGGGCGAAGGACCCGGGCAGGGCACGGCAGCCCGGCAGGGCACGGCAACCCGGCAGGGCACGGCAGCGGGATCGCGCCGCCGCTGCGGAGCCGAGCAGCCCCGCCGGGGGCCGCGCCGGCCGCAGCTCCTCCGGGCCGGCCGCCCCCGCCCTTGCGCCGCGGTGCCGGCACCCACCTGCAGCGAGTCCCGGCGGAGCGCGGCCCGAGCGAGAGGCGCGGCGGTGCGGGAAGTGGGAGGGAAGAGAGGGAGGAAGGGAGGGATGTGGCCGCCACCCGCCCGCCTTCCCCTTTCAAGCCGGCGGGCGCAGGTGGGGCCGGGAGGCGCAGCCCCGGCCCACGGGCCGCGCCCCGGGCCGAGCCGAGCCGAGCCCGGGGCTGTGGCACGAAGGCGGGGCGAGAGAAGGACGCGGTGGGCACAGAGAACCGCACCCGCTGCCCCGCCCCGGCAGCTCGACGGGCAGCGGGACAGCGCTGCAGTTTGTGCCTCCGGCCCGGCCAGTGCCTGTGATCGCCCTTAGAGCATCTCTCCAGTGACCGCTGCCCGGACACGGCCAGGGCCAGAACCCCCTTGAGAGGAGGGCAAGCGGAACTCGATAGTCAGGACAGCAAAAGGGAATGGGCGGTGCACAAGGGAATCGGGATGTGAGGGACACTGTTCCAGCACACACCAGACGGGGATGTCCTGTTGGTCCAGTTCCAGCACTAATAACAGCTGTAGGTGCACCACTGTTGCACGGGGAAACCAGGCCTCCATACCAGGACAGCAGTAGAGCAGAGATGTAGGCTAAGTATGTCTAGCAGCTGCAAAATCTTGTGAAAGGACCAGTTTTTCCCAGGAGTGTCAAGCATGTCACTTTGAGAGTCTCACAAATCATTTCCCACCCCAATACTTGTTGCACTTGCTCAGTCAGGTGCTGATCTCCAGCACGGCTAATGACATTCTCTGTGCTGGAATTTCAGACAGCATGACATCTCCTACAGCACTACAGCATCACGTTCAAGGTGGAAGGCTGTGGCAAAGAGTGTTGGTTACAGAGCGACACAGAGCCCAATGCACGTGGTGCATTATCCCACCCTTTCCAGAAAACCCGCAGTGTGAGGGATAAAATTGAGCATTACAGCACTCAAGATCTCTACAAGGCAAGTTTCTTTTCCTTGCACACACAGGGGAAGAAATCTAAGGGGACACAAATCAGTTATTTAAACTAGATCTATACAGGGTTTTTTAGTTATGCCTATTCTTTCTTTTTTCTATATACTGGTGCTTATATGGCCAACTACCACACAGTTGATTTGGCAGCAATATTTGAGAAGACCTGAGGAGATATTCTGATAGGAAGGGACTTGTGCAGGCTCAGTTTTTGATATAAGCTTCTAGCATCTTACCCATATTTCTCAGTCACTCACCAGCCAGCTGCACAGGCAACCTTTTACTTCTGAATGTCTGTTACATGTCCACAATCATTTAAGTAAGATGACAAGTAGTTGTGGACAGATGTAGAGACAGTGCTGTTATCCCCAAGCACTGGTACCCTCCCTTTTCCCATCCATTATCCCATATCTTTAACTACCAGATCCACTCAGACTACAAAGGCAGCAATCTTTATTTTCTGACACATTAAATTCTCACATTTTATACTTTTTTAAAAACCTCAAAGCATAAAAGTATTTTAAACAGTTTCAAATGTAAGTTCCAGATAAACAGAAAAAAGAGGGCAAATGACAAGAAAGATGATGTTCAAACCCCCCATGCAGAAAATACTCTTTCCCACCTTCCTTTGGCCTCTAACCTTTACTTTATTGTAATAACCATGGTCTCCTGGGCCCCTCCGCACTGTAGCCCCAGTGATTGTGCAAGCTGGGGGAAGTCCTGAAAAATGCTCACTGGAAAAAGTTGCCACTCATGTACATGGGGGTGGCTCATCAAGTCTCATCCCAACCCTCAATTAGGTGACACTGCTCTGCACACAAACACAGCTTCCTACAACAAGGCTCTTCTCATTGGCACCCTTTGGGGAGGGAATGGAAACATGGAAATCAGGCCCTGCACTACCTCTCAGTGGCTGACAGCTTCATCATGTGGGGTAAGCATATTTCACAGCCCACTACTCCATTTCACAAACATGCACTACCACTATTCACCTCATACTGGCTGTGGACTCAACCCACTGCTCCTCAAACTAGTTAACTTAACCCACCTAACAGAGGGGGAATATTTTCTACGAGATGCAAGCTGCACCAGACAAAGCAGTCACACAACTGAGTGAATGCAAGCTCACCCCTCAATACACCACTACACTGTCAATTGCTCATGAAATCTCAGTTTAGGCTGCAAGTTTCTCAACTTCTTTGTGGCTGTCCATACTGAACATACACTTTTAGCTCATGCTTCAAACCTTACAGCACCAGGGTTTGTCCTAGTGCTAGGGGGAAAGTGGCATTTATCTTCTCAAGAAGGATTTAACAGATGGAAAACAGATTAAAGACCAAGTGGTCTAACTCAGAAATTTAAGGCATTAATGATACATTCCCCTTGACTCCTAACAAGCTCCAGCTCACACTGCTGGCAGTAAATGCAAGCTGGCACATTTTATGTTCAGACAGAACAAGGAGTAATGCCACTGCAGCCAGAGCCTCTGAAACAGTAACACTGCTTATCCACTCTGCCTTTTGCTAAGAGGCCTTCATCTCCTCAGTCTCCTTTTCCCTTCCTATCAAGTGAAACTTCACAATCCCCATGCAGTCAATTTTCTGTACAACTTCACTCCCCAGCTACACTAATGGAAGTGTTATTAGGAGTGCCACAGCAGTACTGTAGACCTTGGTCTTTCTGACAATAGCCCCCACCTTGCAACTGCAATCGATACTGTTACTCAACTACTAAACCATGTTTAGAGACTGCTTCTCCAAGTACTCTGGTTAGTGGCCTCCACAGGAGTGCAAGGAAGAGGAAAGTAGGTATTTACACTACAAGGGTAAACTTGAAATGTCAAGTGGGGTTGGGGATTACAGCCAGAGCACTCAAATCAGTTTTTCTTACAGTTACTTGTCAGAGGCAAGTGACAATACTTGCCTTATCAAAGGTATGAGAGTTAAACTGGCTGGAAAATAAATGGGAGGTTAAAATACAGGACAATGATTTGTCTTTCTTCTAGTAGATGGGCAGGAAACCAAAAGTAAAAAACACTGCCAGCCTTTCAAAATAAGACTGTAGAACATATAAGTCCTGGCGGCCATCCTAGTGGTGCCAATAACACCAGCTTAAGGATGGTTTCAAATTAGGAGATTAAAATTTAGAAATAAAACAGGAAACATCCAACCATTCTCCCACATCCCTACACTGGAGCTGCCTGCCCCACAAGGGCCATGGGGAGGTAGCATTCCAGGCAGGCTTGACACCCATAATGTCCATATGCCCATCCCAGGTGTTCTGGTGAGCAGATGGTTTATGAACTCCAACATTCTCAGTCACTTTCAAACTTGACAGAATTGACTTGGGTTGATATTGTGCCCCCACGGTAGCTGCCTCGCTTTTTCTTTGTTTTCTCATGACGGAAAGATTTGCCTTTAGTGTATTTCAGGATGTTGTTAGCTTTCTCACCCCAGTCGCCAGCTGCTCCTTTCTGTGAGGGATGGAGGGGAGGGAAAAGAAATAAGTCAGTACCCAAGAGAGCGAGGGCAATGCTCTGCGCTTCCCAGCACACTGGCACAGGAGCTGACACCACTGTCCCATGCGCCTCCTGGTGGAAGAAGGTCTCACCAAAACCACTCCCCAGAAGCACACCGAGCCTGCTCTGCAGTCAGGTACTTCAGAGACCAATTGTTACCACTCCAGCACCACCTAGCCCTACCTTTGCTTCAAATGAGTTATCAGCCACACGGGCATCCACCTCAATCTCTTCTTCCCTTACGCGACGGAATGGAGAGGACGGCTGTAGAAAAAGAAAATGAGAAACAGTAATCACAAACAAACACACAATGTTCCTTTAGTAACAACCTCCTTCCTTGCCCTGCAGATACAGAACCCTATTCACATCACCTCAATCTTTAAGTGTTTCTCAGATTCACCATTCTTTCCCCACTTCAGATCAGACAGCTCAGGAGTGCTCCTGTGCAAGTATATCAAATCAGCTTTTGCCAGAGTAATATGTTATGTGCACTCCTTAGGGTTCTCCAGACAAGGTTAGAGTACTTAAGGAGATAGCAAAAATACAAATAATCCTGTGGGCCCAACCACCCAGAAAAACCTCTACTTGTTCAGAAGGCAGAGATGCCTCTTCAGCCAGCTGCCACAGTCCACCCTCACTCACCCGTTTCACCTTGGGAACTGTGTGTGGTGTTTTGGCTTTGATCTTTGCTTTTTTACTGTGTGGTGTTTCTGGCTCCTGAACATCTTCCCTCTTCTGTTTCTTCCCGACTGTGCCTGTTAGATGTACAGCAGAACTTTAAAGGCAGCGTTGGGAAAAGTAATGGCTTCTGTTCCCCAGAAAGCAAACCCAGTGTTGACACAGGTGTGAGAACTGGTGTCTGCATTACTTCACCCACAAAACAGACTGCTGTACCAGACACTAACAAATTCTGAGTCAGCAAGGACTCCTCATCCTATCGTAATGGATAAAATTTTATGCAATATGATAGCCCTATATGAACGATTTTGCATACTTGAGAGAGTTCTGTTAGCCAAAATTTGCCAGATTTTGGATTCATACCATATGCACTTGCACACATCAGTAGTGCATCACTAGTTGTTTTCCTTCTGGAGGGTTAAAGATTGAGATTGTGCACTGGGGCATCAACTGTGGTGTCCCACTGCACACAGACAAGGTCCTCCAGCAGTCTGCTTTGCTGTCACTAAATCATGTGCATGCACAGATGGCAACTGGCAACAACTACACAGACATGTACTTCACATTACCACAAATGTGGTAATGTGCAGCCATGCAATGCAGACAAAAAAGATCCCACCAAATTCAAAACTAGCCCTTCCCTCTTACTACTGCACCAAATGGCACAAACACACAGAGGTTAGAATGAGTATTGTTTCATGAAGTCTTCCATTCATGCTTAGCTCAGTAACACTGCCTGACAGACCCACTTCCCACGCTGCTGGTAATACCTCCATTGACTTTTCCAGTCTCTTCTTCAGAGCTGCTTTCACTGCTGCTACTGCTGCCACCAGCTGGCTTAGACTTCACGTTGTTTGCAGCTACTGCAGATGCTTTTGCTTTCTCTGTGGAGGCAGGGGCTTTAGAACCGTTCTGCATCCCCTTCACTGCCTTTTTGGGCTTCTCATCCTCTTCACTGGAACTGTCTGATGAGCTGCTGCTACTGCTAGAAGCAGCTGCCTTCTTCCCCACAGCTGCTTTTGCTGCCCCTGTAGATTTGGCGGCTGGTTTTCCTGCCGGCTTTTCTTCTTCACTGCTTGAGCTATCAGAGTCAGATGTGTCTGCTTTGGGAGCTGGAGTAGAAGGTTTGGACAATGGCTTAGCCACTTTGCCAGCTGGTTTAGCTGGAGGACCTTTCTTCTTCTTCTTCTTCTCATCCTCAGAACTGCTGGAGCTGCTATCTGAATCAGAGCTACTTTGTGCTTTCTTTGTGGCAGCTGGAGACTTCTTTGCTGCAGGGGTTGCTGCTTTAGTTGTGGGCTTCACAGGAGCTGCCTTCTTGTCAGAACTATCAGAATCTAGAATGGAAAGAAAAAGAGCAATCAAGGCTAAGTCTCATTCCTTTAATACAAGATCAGCACTCAGATTCAGTGTTGATACACAGTACACTTCATCATCTGCTTGAAACAACATTGCAATGGGTATTCCTGTCCAACTACATCCTCAGACCCTGCCCAGAAACAGAAAGGTCTGAACAACATGCAGAGAGAAATTCTCTTTCTCTCCCACTCCAATACCTGAGCTGTCTGAGGAAGAACTGGAGTCTTTCTTTGCTTGTCCAGGCTTGACAATTACTTTTGCTGGTTTGGAAGCATTCTTTATCACAGGTTGTTTAGCAGGGAGCTTATTCCCTACCTTCTTTTTATCATCTTCAGAGCTAGAATCTAAAAAAAAAACAAAAAAAAAAGTTCTTCAAGTTAAGAGGCTTCATGTGCAAGTTACTTTAGTGGTAACCTGTATGTAATTTATGGGTAAGTGAAAAGCAAAATGGCTCAAGGCTGAGCCACTAGGCAACTGGCAAGCATCTGATGAACACTTGAACAATCAAGGGACAGCATTGATTTTTCATGCATCTTTTTGTTGGGAGAAAGTGGAAACAGTTTAAGTTGTTCACTAATGCATGCACAAGGAAGTAAATATTTGGAGAATAATGTAGGAGAAGAGGTACTGAATAAGGAATTTTAGAGAAAGTACCAGTATCGTTGAACGTGGGGAGAAGAAACATTGAAAAAAGAATCTATGTGGTAAGGGTCAGAAAAAACATATAAAAAAATTAAGAGATAAAGTTGACAAAGCATGCAAAGTGAGGCAGCAACAGCACAGTATCTCATTTTAGCTAATTCTTCTATCAGATGAGGAAGCAGCAGTTTGAAAATGGAGACTCTTGAGTACAAATACACCTTTGTTTGTGCTACATGGATCTGGAATATTAAACCTGATCTATTCCAGTATTGCTGAACACTTTAGCAACAGCAATCAAAAACTTGACAACGAGGTAACAAAACCAGGAGACACAGAACAGCTGACATTCACTGGAGTGTCACACAGCTACGGCTAGCTGTCTGCAGACAGACTGGCAGCTGCTACCCAGTCTCTGCCATGCCACCAGAGATGCTGAGATATGCCACAGGAGCATCTTGAACTCAGAGGGAAATTGCAGCACATAGGGAACTTACATGGGAAATACCAACCCTCAAACCTGGCTGACACAAGAGACAAAGTACTGCTCCCATTTCTAGGGCCACATCAGAAGAAGGGAGGCATCTTCTAAGTCTAGTTTGAACTTCATATGGTGATTACACTTTTATTTCAGATACTTCGCCAAAAACAATGGAATAACAAACCCCAAAAATCTCAAGACAGATGTTCAAGAACAGTTTAACCATTAAACGTCTGTAAGAAACCTGATTCACAATTCCCTGCCCTTTCCATCCAGCAATATGGACTTTTCTACACTTGCCAATGGTCTTGTCTCATGGTCACACTCCCCTTGAACTGCAGGCTGCTGGTTTTCAATTTTGTATCTTCCTATTCCTGGAGACTCTGAAGCTTTTAAGCTCATACACTAAGGCTTTTAGATACATCACTATGGAGCAACTTGGCCAGTAAAAACATTAACACAAAAGAATCAGAACTTGATTTCTTGAATTACCTGAGTCACTGTCAGAACTGGATTCAGCCTTCTTGGTAGTCACAGCTTTCTTCTGGGGGGCAGGGGGTGTTTTAGCTACTACTGCTTTGCCTGAAAAAGCAAGTTTAAAATTAATAGGCCACATCCACACCACACCTTTGTCCCAAGATCCAAACCTCAGCAGAAGTGAAAAAGCTCCATTCTCAGTACACCAGCCACTCAGCCAGCCTACTGGAAGCCATGCAAGAACTTGGCTTATTCCCACTAAACTAGATCCCAATGATTTTTCAAATCAGCATGTGCAAATGCAACCTGACCACAGTTCAGATCCACAAGTTCTACACAGTGTTGTTTGGAATGCCTTCAAATTAGTCAGAAGCTTCCAGAAGAGCAAACAGCAACACAGAGCAAAGAAAAACAGCTTTTTCAAGGAAGCCAAGACCTTGCAAAAGCCTTGTTGGCACAATGTAGTGCTTCCCCTGCACGCTCTCCTCCTCACAACATACCTGCTTCTGCCTTTGAGGGCACCTGCTCTGCCTCATCACTACTGTCTGAAGAGTCACTGCTCTCAGCCTTTTTTGCAGGAGCTTTAGCAAGGCCCTTCTTTGCCTGTGTTCCTTGAGGAGGTGGTACAGCACTGTATGGACCTACGAAGAGAAACACAGCATTATGCATGATAAGAGAAACACAGATGCCTGCATGATAATGTGAACAGCACAAGGTGTTTGTTGTAGTTAGAATAAAGCACTTCTGCTATTCACTTCCATTTATTCCCCTACTGTAGCTACAATCCAACACTAGCTTATAATTTGAAAGATTATACCCACCCCATTGCTACCTCCTTGTTTCTACTGAGTTTAGGGTAGAAACCCTACTCCTCTTAGGGTTCAGCTCACCCAACCATCTCTGCAGAAGTTTTCTCTGGACTTTCAGAAGAATGGGAGCTTGCCAGCAAACTTTCACAGAAAAAAATCAGATATATCAATTTTTCATTGTTTTCATTTACTGCCTTCTCAAATCCTCTGGTTAGAGAGTCAGACTGACCTTGGATGATTGACCCTCTACTCAGACCAGCTCTCTACTGGAAGCCTAAGAAATTATACCACACTGATCAGAGGCCCATTTAGCCCATCAGCTGGATTGCAACTGAATGGCCCTGGATACTTCACAAAAAAACCCTATTTAGTATTTTTTACACACCAGATTTTGGCTTTTGTTTTGCAGGTGGCTTTTCATCATCTGAGCTGTCAGATGAGTCCTCACTGCTGGAACTTTCCTTGGCACGTTTGGTTTTCCCCGGACATGCTTGAGCGGCTGCAGGTTTTGGCAGAGGTGATTTCTTGGGAACAGCCTTATCAAAAGAAATATACATTAAAAAAGGAAATTCAGAAATCTTGTGGGGACAACTGGATCTTGTTTAATTCTGTGCCTCACTTAAGAACAAACTCCCAAGACAAAGGGAAGAAGATTAACAGAGATTCTCAAATGCAAACTTTAAGAAACACATGAGTATCATTATCTTTCTAGCTCCTCTGCTATTGTTTTCTGCTCCATGAACCCCTAATGATGAGCTCCTCTGGACAAAAGGGCAGAGGACTGACTGGAATTTAGCAACTGCCACATGATTAAAAACAACTATGATTATATTTGTGTTGCAGGAAACATTTTTAAATGCTTGCTAGTGGAAAACTCAAAGTAACAGCTAAACATGAAAGAGTCAGGACAAAGCAACTTTCTATAATGGAGACACAATATGGTTATGGCACAACAAGATGTTTTCCTATAAAGGAAGGAGCAGAGAAAGTAGCAAGGAGGGAAGAAAAAAGCAGTACATGGAGAGATGCTAGGACACATAATCCCAGCATATGAAGGAGCAGCAGGTGTAAGAGTTATATTGAGAAAAGCATCTGTGTAGCCTGTGCCTGCAAGATAATACCCAGTGTTACCAGACTTCTACACTGTTCATGAAGTTTTCCATAGTCTAATTTACCTTTTTTGGTGGAGCCTTTTCCTCATCAGAATCTTCACTGCTGCTGCTACTGCTTTCTGCTTTTCCATTGACAACTTTGGTGGCTGCCTGGGCAGCTTTGCTTCCTTTTGAGAGAAGTAAAAAGGCACATTGCAAAACATGCTATGTAGATGAGGGTAATTACATTGAGCAGTGAGTATCTCAGAGAAAAAAGACCCACAGAAGCCGACAGAGCACATTAAGTGTGCTGCTTTTGCAGTAGTACTGCAAAACTCTTGTTTTATCCTACTGCAACCTTAGAGAAAGTTCTCTGGAAACTGTGTCTTTTAGCTCATGGGAAGTTCCAAAACTAAAGGCTTAGTAAAGATCTTCCCTGCTTTTTGAGGGGAAGACAATGGCAAATGCAAAACATAAACAGTTATTCAAACGGTGTAGTGCTCAGGACCAGATGTTTTATTTGCATTCAGTTCTACACCTCTGTACCAGAACAGACTAGACTGGAGTGGCTGGAGTGGAATGGCAGTGAAAGCAGATTTTCAGACTACTATGTTAATATCTATGTCTTTGCAGGTAGGTGCAGCCCCCAGCACTCCTCCCCTGCTTTTTTGATTTTGTACTTCACTCATGATACACAATAACAGATACCTGATTTAGGTGTTGCTGGTTTTGGTGGTTGCTTGTTTGGTGCTCCTTCATCCGAGCTGCTTGAGTCAGAACTGGAACTCTCTGCTTTCTTCTGAGGCTGGATTTTGGCTCCAGCTGGCTTCACAACAGGTTTTGCACCTTTCTAAACAGCAGCAGGAAAAACTGATTAACCCTCAAAGTCATGAAAAGAAAACAAGGCTAATAAGATGGACACATGCACAGAGTGTAGAAACAGCTGTCTTTCACAGATGTTACCATTTAGATTTGAAAACACCTATCTGCTTAGTGGTCAGGGTCTGAAAATTCTGGGATAACAGTTCTGCTCTAGAAAACCTCCCAGAAATGCATTGGAAACCTCCTTTGCACATCAGTCTTCAATTTTGCCTCCTTAAAATGGGGCAGCTCTGAGGCTGGCACTGTTCTCTTCCCTCTACAGATCACACTAGCTTGAAGACTGAAAATACTGACAACTCTAGCTGGTCTCCCCTAGTGTACAATGTTATCACTCTTCCTCCCCTGCCACCATTCTTCCTTGCCTCCACTTCAAGACCATGGCTGCAGCAAGAAAAAGCTTTTTTTTCCCTCTTTTTACCTAAACATATACATATATACATATATAAAGATCAAACTTATAGACCCGGATCTTTCTTTGCAAAGGAAGTAAGCCCTGGCTGTCTTAGGATAAAAGAAGGACCAGATTTGGATATGAAACAAGGGTGCAGGACAAAAAATTAATTTTTCCTAGGACCAGTATAAATTGCACTACAGAAATGTCTTTCTGCATTGTATCTGCAGCAGCATGGGCACTCCATAGTTCAGGACTGTTGAGCTCAATATCCCATGCAATTCTGTTGGTTAAATTTGCTATTATTCATCACTGTCAAACATGCATTAAAGCTGCTGGAAAGAAAAGCCAACCTTTGCTGGCTTCTTCTCCTCCTCTGAGTCTGAATCATCACTGGAGTCCTCACTGCTGCTCTCTGCTGTCTTGGCTGCAGGAGCTGCTTTTGCTTTGGGCACAGCTGATGCTTTAGCTGCAAATAAGGGACAGCATATATTGATAAGTTAATTGACATTTTTTATGTACCTATATCCTGCACTAGTGGGTATTAGAGCTAAAGGATATATAAAGGTCACTAAACCATGACTGAAGTTCACAACACTGACTTTGTTTCTCGAGCAGTGTGTGAGACTGCTCTAAAATGGGTAAGCAAAAAGATAAAACCATTCTAGAATTTATCTTTGCCACACACAAATTTAAGTGCAGTTTTCTATCACCAAAAATGACAGCCCACAAAGAGCGAGCACTCCTCAAACTGAGATAATATTAGCTGGGTCTGCACACCTCTCAGCTTAAGAAGCTGCTGAACAAGTACAGACAGGTGCTTGCAAAGAGAACCACTGCAATGTCGTGTTAAGGTTCCAGACACCCAAATCTGTTTTGGCCAAATCCATTTCCTGGTTACTGATTGCTTTTCAGTAATGTGGAGCAAAAAAGAAAATAGTTTTGTCTTACATTATATTTACAACTCTCCTTATCAAATAAAAATCAGATATAAATTCAAATTCAGCTTTAGGATGGGTTAAATCAAAGACATATTTTCTTTCTGTGTCTCTTCTCATTTATTCTTTCCCTCCTGCAAATCTATTGCTAGACACACACAACCTTGTGTACAGTGATTAATAAATGATACAAGAATAGTTGCAGATAAAATGGAAAAATACAGCTCACCACACAGCAAAGTGCAGCACAGGGAAGTATTTTTTGGTAGCACTAGTACACGAGCTCTAAAGGAAAAAGGGTAGCAACCTCACACAGGCAGCAGGTGAGTACGGATGCCTGGTGCTTCTTTGGAGTGGCTAAAACCTTCCATGGGACACAAACTGCTGTGCCTAAATTTTAGCAAGATACAGAGATCATCCTTAACTAAAATTAAGCTATCTTCCATAGCATGGACAAAAGACCTGCCGAAACCGAGATCAGTCAATACAAGCCTAACCCCTGATAGCTGCTGAAAGGCCTTCCAAGAGCTGCTGAAGCTGAGCTCTATACACACGTGAGAAGCCAGCGCCACACACAGCCCTGGCTGCACAGGGCCGCGCACAAACCTACCAGGCTTCTTGGCCGGGGGTTTCTCATCCTCCTCGCTGGAGCTGTCACTGCTGCTGGCCGACGGCTTCCTCTTGGCCTGGGCGCCGTTCGGGACCAGCTTTCTCTTCTTGGCCGCTGGAGACCTGCGGGAGAAGGGCTGAGCGGGGCCTGCGGGGCGCGGGCCGGGCGGAGGGGCCCGCACGGCGAGGGCACTTACCGCAGCCAGTAGGTGAAGATGTCCAGCAGCGAGGCCGCGTTGGGGTCCTGTTCCTTCTAAAGCGAGAGAGGCCGCGTCAACCAGAGTCAGTCAATCGCTGATCCCCCGCCCGTCCCGTCCCGTCCCGTCCCGTCCCGCCCCGCCCCGCCCGCTCCCCGCTCACCGCCGCCGCCTCCCTGGCGAAGGCGCGCGCCGCGCCCTGGCAGCCGCTCTCGCGCAGGAACGCGAGCACGAGGGGGAACAGGTCGCTGGGCACCGCGCGCCGCTCCGCCATGATGCACACGCCGACACGTGCTGCGCGCGCACGCGCTAACGCCTACGTGCGTGCCTGCGTGTGCGTGCCTGCGTGTGCGCGCCGCCGCGGCCCCGCCCCTGCCGCTGCCTCATTGCCCACGGGGGGACGCTCTAGGGCGTGGGGTGGCTGCGCTCCCGGCTTCTGGTGTGAGGGCATGGAGCCGCTCGGTGTTGGTGCCTGCGCCAAGGCAACGCGCAGTGCCGAACGGCTGCCTGTGGTGCAAAGGCAGGAGCGGAGTTGGGAACCTGGCAGTGCCCACTCGGTTCTGGAAGCGGGAAAACTTAAACTTAAGTCCGCTTAAGCCTCACCAGCTTACTCCTATTTGTAATGCGCTTTAAATCACCGAAAGGAGAATGTTGAGGGAAGTCTGGAGAGCAGGAGTTGGGTTGCTCTAGGGAAGAGAAGCAGCTGGGAGCTGCGGCCAGCCTCGGCGCTGGCAGAGCCCTCAGCGGCACGGCCCGGCCCGGCCCCGCTGGGCTGCAGCGCGGCGGGCAGGGCTCGGCGCTGCTAGCGGCGTTCGCCGGTACTCAGGAAAATGGGCTGTGAAGCAGCTGGACCCACACAGGAGCGTACTGAATACTCCTACTAAATCCTTTTATGTATGGAATAACACGAGACTGTGTTGCAGAAAAGAAACTGTTCGCAGGAGCTCATATTTCCTAGTTTTTTGTAGTTTCCCTCTACAGTAACCTACAGCTGCAAACTTCATCTGCAAAGCTCAGCAAACTTTTATGCTTTTGCCTACATTGGAAAGGAAAAGATGCAGCTTTTGCTGGTAAACTGTGGTTACTTTAAGCCCCGCTGTGTGAAGTAACTGCCCTGAGGAGGCAGGGAAATTACTGTGTTTGCTTCACTGGCTCACTTCGCTTCTCCTCTGGTTAATGAGTATCTCCCTCTCGGCCTGGGCTTCGCCAGTTCGTCTGTTCCCTGTGCTGTGTGGCAGCTTCTCTTCAAAGGTGTGCGGCTCTCCGAGTGTGTTCCCCTGTGTTGTGCCTGCAGCTGGCCAGATGACCTGGCAGGGAAAGCTGTTTTGTCCTTGTATTCTTCAAGACAGTATTGGGAGATCCTGGGACCTAAAAGACAAGCAAATTCAAGAGATTTATGTTACTGCTTGTGAATTCCTTTGTTCCCCTCACCTACTCCCAAGTCTTTTTAGTCCTCCCCTTGTCTGCCACGTGTTGTTTGTTAAGGCTGCGGGGAGAGCTATGCATGGGATCTTTTTAATATTACAGTGACTAAACTGCCCCCAGCACTTGAGGTGAGGAGGCCCCAGAGCAGAGCAGGACAATCCCCTCCCTTGCCCAGCTGGCCATGCTGTCCCTGATGCCCCCCCAGGACAGGCTTGGCCCTCCTGGCTGCCAGGGCACTGCTGCTAATGTTCAGTTTGCCATCCCCCAGGACCCCCAGGTCTGTTTCTGCAGCACTGCTCTCCTGCCTCTCATTTCCCAGCTCATCTCGGAAGAGAACATTTCCATTAGGGGTCTCTGGCCATTCCACTCTTTCCATGACCAAGGGAAAGTGAAGAGAGGTAGCATTAGTATTCAAACACATACTCAATCCTTTCCTTGTTACTGGTTGTAAGTGCCTGGCAAAAAAAGCATTGGCTCCAGAAAGAACAATCTAGTCCTTTTCTTTGGACAGGGATAAGACAGACCCTTGAGAATAATGCCGCAAATGCAGCTGTGTTTGTATGCTGCAGAAGTGAGGAAAGACTTGCACTGTCAATTTTGGGCAAGGTAGGATGAAATGCTCCCTCTATTTCTTCTCTCTTTTTTTTTTTTTCTTTAATTTTTTCTTTAGGACATTTGTAAGTGATTGTTAGGCCTGCCTACTGTGGTAGGGTGTGGAGGGGCTTTTGCCTTGATTTGCTATCTGAGTTTTTAGTTGGAGGTTGCTGAAACAACACACTAGCAGTTATTTTACTCAACTCATTTGTGGAGGCACGTTAATTTCCCTTTAGAGACTTGGGAAGTTTAAATGCTGAAGAGGCTTTGCATTGATTAAATAAAATGCAGAGTATCCTGAGTGACGCTGACTGACATGGAGAAGCCCTGTGGGTTCCCTGGAAGCTGACTCTGCTTTCCCTCTCTGTGTTACTGCAAGGCTTTAAAGAGAGACAATTTAAGAGCTCATTTCATAAGAGCATGTTGAAATTCTTCTCTAACATCAGAAAGATGATTTTATTTTTAACTTTTTATACTGGAAGTTGGAAAATACACAGCTTAACAAGAGAAAATGTGGAACAGTCTTTAAGTCATACATGTGGTTATCCATCTGTTAAAATAGTTCTTAACATATACTTGCTGTTCTGTAATAGTAAAATAATTGGCTTATAGACTCTCGTTTCCAACTAGTTAACTTTTGTATTTCATATAAATCCCAAGTTGGTTCTGTATTTGCACACCTCTCTGTCCAGTGTCCATGTGTTCTTTATTCTAGTGTATATTTTTGGGATGATTCAGAGGGGAAAGTTTCTTCTTTGCATACCTGGAGTTACTCATGAGGCTTTATCATCAGGAAGTCCTAGTACTTCCCTATTGAGAGAACAAACACCTTGGTTTTGGAAAACAGGCAGTGGCACAGGGTTTGTAAGCTTAAGGTAGGTTTTGAGTAAAGAAAGATTTGGAGGTAACAAGAGAGTTTGACTAACTTCTAAGATAGAATTTATTAGTGGAAAATAGTTGATTCCTTTCTGATTGTAAGCACCTCTGTTCTAACATTAGTGGTGACGCTAAGCTGTGTACAGAATGTTCACTGACTGCCTTGACTGGGAAGCCAGGCGTCTGCTTTTGCTGTGCTGAAGTGCATCAATGGAAGATCTCACTGGTTACAAGTGTTTTTTTTGAAGTTTGCAAAGGAATAGGCTGAATAATTTAGGCAGAATCTGTTGCTTTGTCCTCAGTGACAAAATTAGTAAGTTGAGTCTTACTCTCTTAATAACGGTGTTTTTCTGCTGCTTTTTGTCTCTGTACTCAAACATGGGCATGGTCTTACAGAAACGGGTACATTTCATTTGAAAGCAGCATCTTCTCAATGAAAATACAGAACATCGAGTTACTTCATTCTGTAGCGGGCAACTTCGCTTCTCCCTAGGAGTTTTCCTAGCTCCATGACAAAACCTAAGTTAGGGATGAGTATAGAGCAGGTATCGCTTGTTATTACTGTAACACAACCTTTCCTCGGCCCCCTAGGGAATGCGTGATTGGAGCAGCGGGAGGGGGCAGTTTCCGTGCTGGGGGCAGTCCCGCCGAGCACCGGAAAGGGGATGCGCGGCCGGGCAGGGGCCGCCCGGTGCCCGGCTCTGCAGGGGGCGCCGCGGGCGGGAGGCGGGGCCGGGAGGAGCCCGGGGCCGTGTCCCCGGTCCCGTGTCCCGAGTCCCGTGCCGCGCCGGGGGCGAGGGAGCGGCCGGGGGGGATGCGGCACCGCCTCGCTGCGCCGCCGATGTGAGGGACGGGCAGCGGCCCCTTCCCCGCCAGCCCCGGACCATGGCGGCCCCCGGTAGGTGCCGCGGGGCTTCTCCGCGCTGTGCTCCGGCGGGCCGCGGCTCTCCGCAGCTGCCCCGCGCCAAGCGGAGCGTGGCGGAGCCCGGCCCGCTCCCCCGCGGGGCGGTGCCGCTGCGCGGCTCTGCGCGCCCCTGGCGCTCCGCTGCGGGCAGAGGGCGAGGGGGCTCCGCTCTCCGCGCTCGGGGAACCCTGGCGCTCTTCAGAGCAGCGGTGCCTCCTGCGCTCCTAGCCGGGCTGCAGCGCTTTCTAGCTCGCCTTGCTTCGCTTGTCTGGAGTTCAGGGCTGCTGCTGGTAGAGCTTTCCTGCGTCTGAAGTGCACTTCGGCTTGGCAGATCAGCGAGCTCTGGAGGGAGGGTGATCTGTAGGGTAATTTCCCCTGTCCGCCTTTACTACTTGCATGTTTTTCTGTGATGTTTCATAGAGAAGTCAGTTTTTCTTAAATACTGCTTTATTCTTTAGCACCACTTCATTTTGGAGGTATAACTTGGTGCTCCTCGCCACAGTGGCCCAGGATCCCAAGCTGAGCTGGTTTGCCGTCATTGAAAGTGTTTTAGCTGACATATGTGCAGGTAAAACTGCCTAGAATAAGAGCTGCAGACTGAAGGGGAGAGGGGTTTAGCCTCTATTGTGTAAGTCTTGCTAATGCCCAATTTGCAAGTTCCTCTCTTTGCAGGGAAGCGTATGGGTTTTATCTAAAAAAGGAAAAAACGTGCCATTCTCAGGGTGTGAAGTAACATTTGCGTTTCATTGACCCATATCTCCTTGTGAGGTAAAAATAAGCTAAATGGAGGCCTCAGGAGACTTGTGGACAGAACTACTTTTCTCTTTATAAACAGAAGGTGATTTCACAGAGACCCTTAAAAAGAGAACAATTTTAGATTAACGTATCATAATGCAAATCTCTTGTTCCTCTCTGTGGCGTTTGGTTTGCAGAAATTTTATCTGCTTTGATTCTGTTATTTCCTTTTGCTTGTTTACAGCATTTTATTTAAAGTGAAAATTTTCTATTCTAATCAAGGTAAGAAGTCTCATGTGATCACTATTACTGTGCATTCCATGCATGCAGAGAATGCATTTATTTCATCATACATCACTTAAATACACACACTTCACATACTGAAATGTGGAAGGTGCTGAGGACTTCTCTTAATGGCCCACCAGCAGTTTCTATGACTTCCTGGAAGTGCTCTCTCTTTTAAGAAGTTGATTGTTAAGACTCTTTGAGTTGCGTTTCCTTTATACCATGGACAATTGTCTCTCATGAAGAGCAAATTCCCATCTATCAAGGATTGTTGTTTTGGACAGTATTATTTCTGTATCCTCCGTACAAATGAATCACAAATCACACTGCAACAGGTTACATAATGCCTTTCTTATGTAGTCAGAATTGGAGATGGATTTTTTTCTGGCAGATGAAGAAAAATTGTTTGCCACTGCATATGGTCCTCTGAGTTGGAATGAAGGATTTAGTCTCAGTTTTTTAACCTGGTCTGTGGA